CAATTTTTGTCCATTTAGGAGTATGCTGGCTGTGGGTTTCTCGTAGATGGCTTTTACTATTTTGAGGTAGGTTCCCCGTATGCCTAGGTGTTCAAGGGTTTTATCAAGAAGGGGTGCTGGATTTTATCAAAAGCTTTTTCTGCATCTAGTGATATGATCATGTGGTTTTTGTTTTGACATCTGTTGATGTATTTAATTACCTTTATGGTTTTACGAATATTGAACCAGCCTTGCATGCCAGGAATGAAGCCTACTTGATCATGATGGATGATTTTTGAGATGTATTGCTGAATCCGGTTTGCTAGGATCTTGTTGAGAATTTTAGCATCTATGTTCATCAAAGATATTGGCCTGTAGTTCTCTTTCTTTGTTGGATCTTTACCTGGCTTGGGTATCAATGTGATGTTGGCTTCGTAAAATGATTTGGGGAGAGTTCCATCTTTTTCAATCGCCTGGAATACCTTCAGTAGGATTGGTATCAGCTCCTCCTTAAATGTCTTGTAGAATTCTGCTGGAAAGCCATCTGGACCAGGGCTTTTTTGGTAGGAAGTTTTCTTATTACGTGGTCGATTTCCTTGATTGTTATTGGTTTATTTAGGGTCTCAATTTCTTCTTGTTCCAACCTAGGTAGGTTGTGTGATGTCAGAAGGTCTTCCATTTCCTTCTGGTTTTCAAGTTTGTTTCCATACAAGTGTACGTAGTAGTCTCTAATGATCTTTTGTATTTCTTCAGGGTCAGATGTGACTTCATCTTTTGTGTTTCTGATTATGCTTATTTGGTTTTTTTCTCGTTTTTTCTTGGTCAGTCTAGCTAGGGGACCATCAATCTTGTTTACCCTTTCGAAGAACCAGCTTTTTGTTTCATTGATTTTTTGTATTATCTTTTTGTCTTCTATGTCCTGGATTTGGGCTTTTATTTTGGTGATCTGGATTCTTCTGCTGAAATTAGGGTTTTTGTGGTCTTGCTTTTCCTCCTTCTTTAGGTGGTTTGTTAGGTTGTCAATTTCTGTTCCTTCCATTTTCCTCATGTGTGTTTGTAGGGATATAAATTCCCCTCTTATTACAGCTTTTAAGGCATCCCAGAGATTTTGGTAAGATGTTTCTTTATTTTCATTTGTTTCCAGGTATCTTTTGATCTCTATTTTGATGTCATCATTGACCCAGGAGTTATTTAGCATCATGCTGTTTAGTGTCCATGTCTTTCTGGGTTTTGGGGGGACTTTGTTGGTGTCAATGTTTATTTTTATTCCACTGTGGTCCGAGAAGGTGCATGGTAGAATTTCAGTCCTTTTAAATTTGCTTATACTTGATTTGTGTCCAATTATGTGGTCGATCTTAGAATATGTTCCATGTGGTGATGAGTAGAATGTGTATTCTGTGGTCTTTGGATGGAATGTTCTATAGGTATCAATTAAGTCCATTGGTCC